ACATCTCATTTAAAATGTGACACACCAGATACAAGTCACCATGTTGAAGTCTCTTGGACTGTACCTAATTTTTGAACTGAAGAGGTGGCTTTGTATTTCTGGTGAGTAAGTATATCATTATTTTGGGACATTTGTTCATTTCCAGTGAAAAGTATTTTCCAGTGAAAAGTCTTGTTTATTGCAGCTTCTAGATGTTCTTGTTTTAAAAAAGATTAAGAAAGTTTAAAAAAGATTAAGAAACTTGTCGTCAGTGTTAATTATGCCTCATTTTAGATTTAATGATGTGCTGCTAGCTGTAGTAGAAATTACTTTGGACAGTAATGTTCTTCAAATGTTGTTTTTTTTGCTAAGGTTTGTTTTGTTCAAGTGTGTTTACATAAATCAAAGCACTTTAAACATTCAGATAGATCTTATTTTTGTCATCAAATAAAGTGTGCAACATTATGTAATTTATATGCTAAATATTGTGGCATTTACATTTAAAAAATTACCATAATTACCTTGTGCTGGCAGTGTGGTCAGTTCTTTTGGACATTCAGTAAATGTTTTAAAATATGAGGTATGGTGAAAGAGCCTGTGTTTTGGACAAAGTGTTTGTCTTCCTTTTTGGCTTAGAAAGGTGGTTATCTTGTTTTATGATTTCAAAGGGGAAAACATTCACCAGTAAGACTATGCAAAGAATTTATTTTGGTACTAAAAGAATTCTGCAAATAATGACAAGACAGATTGAGTAGTGTCATTTAGGTCCTGACTGACTACTGAAGGAAGTAAAGATGAGATTGTAAGTGACAGAAGCAAAGACATAGTTACTAGCAGATTTCTTCTTAATTTTCTACCTGGAAAAATCTAGAAGTGGCAGAGTAGCAAAACAGAGTAGAAAAACTCTGGTGAAAAGTTTGGTGACTCTAAAGCTGGGAGCATGTGGGAGAAAGGTATTCTATATTAAATATTTCAAATGCAAATAGCTGGATTGAAGGAGTTTGTGGTCTTGGTTCCTCAGGTATCACATTTCATCAATGCACATAAGCAGCATTTTAAAGCAGAAATTATACTGTGTTGTGGAAACAGCTGAAATCTTGATTAAAAATGCTCAGAAATGGAAAAAAGTGTAGGACATTCTTGTTTGCAGTTCGAGCGTATTGGAGGGGTCTCTTCCAGATACACACTGTACAGCCCCCTGGAGCCTTCTTGAGGCTGAGCAGTCCTAGTGTGCCCAGCATCACCACCTGTGAAAAATGCTTCAGTCCCTTTACCATCATTGTGGCCTTAAGCTGGACTTACTCCAGTAAGTCTGCATCTTTCTTGTGCTGGGGAAGCCCAAACTGGACACAGTGCTCCAGGTGCAGCCTCACTAGTGCTGATTTCTTTGCTACAGCATAAAGTCTGTCTTGTATAATACTCATTGTGACCACTTGCATAATTAACTTTATAATGTGGCTCTTTGTCATGCAGAGAATCTGTTTTAAATATTAGTTGGCACTTAAAAAGAAAAAAAAGTTTCTGGGCTTTCTACCCTCCCTCCCAGTAATGCTAGTCATCTGCTGAGACTCCAAGTCCAAACAGCTTAACTGTCATATGAATGATGAGGAAATACACGACTCACCCTCATTTCTCCTGTTGATCCCTTGTCCATTTTAAAATTCAGAAGCATTTCTCGCGGTTCTTGAAAAACTTTTCATTTGCTTGGTTTTGGTTTTGTTGGGGTTTGATTTCGGTTTTAAGGTTAAGTTCAAGAAATGTTTTCAATGTGGAAGTTTTAATTAGATTTTAAAATAGACTGCAAGAAATATTAAGATTAGAATATTACTCAAACAATACCCAATCGTGTCTTGTAAGACTAGGCTTTTCTGTTATAGTGTTTTAATTTGTTGAGGAAAAGTTTTCTAGGGAATGATACTATTCCTTGTAAAGTCTGTGAGAGCTTAGATTTTTTTATTCAGTTTGAGATTTAACAAAGAATTACTCATGAAGGCAAACATTTGAACAGCCTCACGTAAGTTATTCTAATTGAGGCCAGAAGTTATTTTAGGCTGAGAAGCTATTTTGTTGTCTTTTTTTTTTTTTTCCTAAGTGTAACATTTCCTCTAGAGAATTTCCCATTGTGTATTTCCAAAATACATAATCCGGATCTACTCAAAAAAGGACACTTGAGAGTTGTTTATAAATATTTATGAACTGCTGTGATACTCCCAGATCAGAGGTGATTTAGTAATGTGATGAAAAATTATTTCTTGGGAAAAAACACACTAGTTTCTTACAGATAAACGTAATATTGGAATGCAGACTGAGAGTCTTATAGGGAAATAAACCACACGAAAATCAAAAGTTAAAGTTGCTTGTGATTTCAAAACATATCTATGCTTAAAATTAAGTCTTTGCCAACCCGAAAAAATCAGAGGTGGTGGGGCTGCCCACTTACTCCCAAATTTAGAGGTAAATTTGCCCCTTCTAATACATGTTCACAATCAACAATGGTAGCTGTATAAATGGGATAATTTTCTTTACTGATGAACCAGTTTGTATGTGTGAAAAAAGAAAATTCATTTTTACACTGTTTCCAAAAATATTTTGATGAAGACCTGAAGGGAGAACTTATTATGACAATAATTACAGTTGTTAACTTGATGCTCAAGATAACTGGAATTGCATCTTTGATCTCCTAGTGTCTTCATCATCCCGTGTCTCAGAAAACTGCAGCCCTACCACAAAGGTGTCTCTACTGGCTCCAGCGATTTTTAAAAGGTTTATTTCCTTCTAGCATGTATTCTGTGTTTTCCCCTAAAGTGTATGTGTGTGAAAAAAATTTAATTGGAAAAGTCCTGCTTACTTCCCCATGAATGTGGCTTTCCTGTAATGAAGCCATTCCATCCTTTTAGAAAGTCAGAGGCACCTTTGCACTCAAGTGCTTTGCATGGGAAGAGCTCAGCAGCTATCCCAAAGCCTGAAGGGAAGGATATGTCCCAGGGCACTTCATGTCCTGTCTTTGAGCTGCAACATGTATGCATAACCTCAGCAAGCCCCACCTCACCTTTTTTTATGCTTGACAGTGCTCAGTGAGGCTTTGGTACAAGGACTGTAGATGAAAGGGGAATATCTTACCATTCTGGTGAAAATTTCATGAAGATTTATGCATGTGTGTGGCATGGAAAAAAATCCTGCCAGTTGTTCCTCACTGTGTTTTAGCCAACCTTTAATTTTAACATATATTCCTGGTCTTGCAAGCAAGATTAGTGAAGATTACATAAAGTCCTCTGTTTCTGTGGCACTTTTTTTTCCTACACAAATCAGGGAAATTTTGCTTAGAAGTACCTTTTTATAGCCTTTATTAACTCATTGTCAGCTTCCTTAGTAGATCCAGAGTCAAACCAGAATACTGTGACTTTTTTTTTAGCTATATTGTGAGCATGTGTCTCGTTGGAGGGGTCTTGCATCTTGATTTCACCTAAGCTTCTATCCTGTCTGCTTGGTTTTGTTGAAATGTTTTCTTGAATGAAGAGTTTATTCTAAACTTCATGGTCAGCCTAACCAAAACAGAAAAAATAAGCAGTACCCTCCTTCCGTGTGGTTGTTTTTTTCTTGTTTGTAATCAGATGATTGTAGGAAGGTAGAAACTGTGTTAAACCCACCCCCCCAAACTAAAAAAACAAAAAAAAAAAAATAAAGCCCAACCAACCACTTCCCACATAATTATCTGAGTAGCAAATGAGTTATGTTTAGAAAATAAAGCTGTTTTTTTACCCAAATGCTTCTAATTGCTATAATGTTTGGAGCACTTAATTGTATGCTATAGCAGTGTTGCTTAGAGGTGGTTTTTTTGAGCCAGAACCAGCTTATATGCTTACATAGCCTCATTCACTTGACACTCACTATGGATAAAGAGGCAATAATAGTTGCCTCTTTTGTATAGTGTAGGAATTTTAGTATGTTCATAATAATTATATACATTTCTGGGAGCTCATAACAGAGATGCAAAAATTGTCTGATGTTTCTGAAACCATAACACAATGTGGAGATGGATACCTTTATGATTACCCAAATAATTACATACATCAAATTACAAAAATCTGTACTGAGAGCTGAATTTACTAGAACTCATTTAAATTATTAAAAGTAATGAAAAAAATAAATTAGAACGAATTTCATTATTGAAATTAAATGGACCAAACTCTAATTCAAACTTTCTAGTACCTTCAGTTCAGACTTAATATTGACTATACTTTTTCTCCACCAAATATGGAAGTAATGATACAGTGGTGATAGTGGCATCAAAATCTATCTAAATCTTTCCAGTTACTCAGAAAACACATTTGAAATTCATATGCTTACTTTTTTTTAACAGTTCTTTAATTCCTGATTTTGTAGCTGGTAGCATAAAATATTTTTGAGTGTTACAGGAGAGTCTGTTCTCTGTCCATACACAGTCACAGGGATTGCACTGCAAGTAATTTTGCAAAATCATGGCATAAAATCTGCAGAAATGTCTTAACCTGATTTCACCTGAGTTAGTTAAAAATGTGTCTTTTTGCAAGCAACGCTGAGATCTTCCCTCAACATTTCTTAATATCCCAAATAATTTATCTTTTGCATTTATGTTTAAGTTGGGGCTGATTGCTTTCACTGCCTGGAACCTGAAAAATAATTCTGAAACAAATCCTTCAAGTTGTACTGGGGAGGTTTAGATTGGATATTAGGAGCAATTTCTTCACTGAAAGGCTTCTCAGGCATTGGAAGTGGTTGAGTTGCCATCCCTGGAGATATTTAAAAGATGTGCAGATGTGGCACTTAAGGACATGGTTTAGTGGTGGATTTGGCAGTGCTGGGTTAACGGTTGGATTTGATGATCACAGAACATCTTTTCCAAACAAAAAGATTCAATTATTTTCTGATGTTTGTGGTAGCAACTTTCCTTTTACTAGGCAGATGTGCTTGTGATCTCAACACTCTTACGAAAAATAGCAGTGCTTTCAATTTCTTTTGTTATTTTCTGTCTCTGATTTCAGATATTCCTTATAGTTATTCATATCCAGGACACAGTATATAATGGGGAGAAAACTGGATCTTTCTGGCTTGACTGATGAAGAAGCAGAGCATGTACTCCAGGTGGTTCAGCGAGATTTCAGCCTTCGTAAAAAAGAAGAAGAAAGGCTGAGGTAAGAATAAAAGCATTGGTCTATTTGGATTATTACAAACTGTTTTTGGAGGAAACTGGAAAAGACAGCTTTTTTCTGGTGTTCTATGCATTAATAGTCATTCCTGTCACACAAGCGAGAAACATCCGATGTCCTCCACCTGAATTCAGTTATTGAGTAGTCATTCGTTTTTGTGTTTAGTCTATTCTAGCCTAGACCCCAGTAATGGTCTCTAAATCATCTCTGTATATTTCCTGGGTAGATGCTAACTAGTGTTCGACTTTATCAAAAGCAGAAGTTCATGTTAAGGAAATTTTTTGCTTGCTGTAGTCAGTTTCTTTTCTTTTATTCAGAAACTTTGTCTACATGCAAACATCTGAAAGTGAAGAAGTTCAACCCATCTCTTTCCCCCAAAATAGTCGATGGGATAAGATATCTGTTGTGTTTTAATTTTGCTTTCAGTAGTCTGTGTACAAAATGATTGCAAGCGGAAACAACCCAGAAGAAAATAAATGGAATTTGTTGGCAAGGTAACTTTCTTAGCCCAGCGTGCAGGTTTAAAAGTAAACCAGAGGAGAAATGAACCAAACTCAAGAGAGGCTACGAGTCAGAGTTACAATTTACTGAAAAGATTACAATAAATTAAATGATACGGAGAAAACAGCCCTTGTTTTAACCCACAAGGACAGATATATAACCCAACACCCTGGAACAAGAACAGAATGGTGTTTGTTAGCTCCTGTGCAGAGCACCACGTGGCCCCACTGGTTGCAAAGCAAAAGGAAAAGGAAACCTGTTGGTCTGGATGATGGTCACAGTCTTGTCAAGAGTGGCAGTCACAGTCCTGTTGAAGTTCTGGTTCTCCTCTGCATTTGAGGAGACCTGAAATCTCAAAACCCCAAGATTATATGTGCTCGGGTTCAAGGTTCAAGTGGTAACGTCCAGTACTTCCCCCAGGGTATAGAGTTTCACAATGGGTGATTTAACTCTGTGAGTCATGGGATATTTTTGAAATCTTTGATGGTCTAGGTTGTTGCAGCTGCCTCTTATGCCAGTTCATTGTGGCCCATTAGCAGAGATGACCCCTCAGGTGTTAATGCCCCCCCCCCCCCCCCCCCCCCCCCCCCCCCCCCTCCCGCCCAGGGGAGTTATCACAGCTGAGTCATTGGTATGAAGACAAAGGAACATTCCCGTCTTGCAGTGTTTTTTAACACCCATCTTGTAGTCTGAGGTGTCAGGTGTGCCCTGGGCAGCTGCTGCAAACAATCCATTTATTAACAGTCTATCAGAAATGACATAGAGGGTGTAGAATACACAGTTTTGGTTATACCCACATAGTGATAAACTGGTCCCAGCCCTTGTAACTAGGACACTCAAGAACTTCCATATGTGACAAAGGGACCATGGACCGAGACCTGAATTGGTAGATGCAATATTTTTCTTGTAGTTTCAACAACATTTCCTTGAATTATGTCTGATTTTTATATTACCTTCTTTGAAAACATCATTATTTATTATCTAGCATACTCTGAAGTCTCTATCTGTGGTTGGCAAATGCACCTTCTCTTATTGTGCTATTCATATCTCAGGCATTCAGCATTTAACTGAAGTCAACGGAGCAGGATTATGACTGAAATAAACAGAAAACTAAGTATATGTCTTATATGGAATTGAAACTAAGGGAATCCTTTCTTTGTCAATTTTCTGTTACTGTTTTCTGAAACTACTTGGAACATTAGGAACAATAAAGGCAGCTTGTGGCACAGACCTAATTCAGTTTTGGCATGCTGTGCAAGTTCTTTTTTGGGTTGGTAGTGAAAGCTTGCTGCGGGGAGGAAAGACTGGATAAGGATGGCACGCAGATCTTTTATTTTTTTTAATGACTGTTTGTCGTGGCATGGATTGTACTGGTTATTTTGGTAATCTTTCACAACAAAGCCAAGAGATTCTGGAAGCAGTTTTAGGAGAGTGAGTGCATGAGCTTTGTCTGGCTTTTTGTAATGTAACTGATTGTATCTTACTGGAGCAAGCATACTACAGCTAGGAAGTGCTGGGGCATCTTGCCTATTCCATACTACTAGATCCTATAGTGGGAGGAGGAAGGGGAAGGATGTAAAGCATGCTCACAGAAAATTGACCAGAAAGCCTGGATAGATTCTTGTTGCTTGTGTTTTATCATTTTGCTACTGAGGTTTTTCATGAGACTTGATAATTGAATGATCACAAGTAGAAAACTGGTGTGAGAAGAGAGATAAACCACTGGAAAAGTAGGAGAAACCCACAGACTCAGCTTATATATGAGTATGTACTCTTTTCTTCTTGCAAAGTTCATGCCTTTTGCAAGTATTAAAGTATATTAAAGTGCTGCAAATAATGAACTGTACTGACAAAGTAGAAGTTTTGAAATGTAGGCTGATATTTAAGATATGAATTTAAATAGTTTTAATGACTTTAAAAACTGCCTGTGAAGTTCAAAGCTTACTTCTGGCTTAAAAGCTATGACTTTGTGGGTTTGTTTTAAATCGTGCTAGTCTGGTTGGTTTTGGTTCATTGGTTTTTTGGTTTGGGTTTTTCATTTTCTTTTTTTTGTACAAAATGCAGAGCTAAAGGAAGTATGTAGCAACACATCTTTTTGTTTTACTATGTGATTGAAAATATAATCTTATAAGAAACTTCTATGATCTTGCTATAGATTAGATTTTTCAACCTGTAAGAAAACAGATTAGATCTTGTGTCTGATTTGATGTTCTTGACTCTATTGCATTTGTATTTAGAAAGTTATCAACTGGCAAGGTTTAAAGTATAGTTTCACTTTACAAGTGAAACTTTGTAAAGCTTCGTGATCTTTTCTAGGATAAAAAAATCAGCATGTATATTTTATATGTTGGACTTTTAGACTTATGTTAACAAATCCGAAATGAAGCTAAATCTGAAGGTATGTTTTTGTGGTGGTTTTTTTCTTCCTGTAATTAATTTGAGGTAGGAGCTTTAGTCTTTAACTAGAACTGTTAAAGTTTTTGCATGTGAACTTTCTCAAAATAGGGCTTCTGTATAATTCTTCATATCAGATAGTTTTATTTTTGGGTGATTTTCCCCACAAAGACTGAAGTAGCTGTTTCATGGATCTGTCTCTGGATTATTCCTATTGTAGCAATTATTTCTAAAGATCAAGAACTAGTTAAGGGAAGATATGATAAATTTCCACTGTATCAGGAGAACAATGAAAGCTAAGGGAACTGTGAGTGCTTGATGCCTTCAGTTTTGCTTTGCTAGTGGCAGCTGAACAGTTAAGTAACATACTACAAGAAGTGAAGCTTATCTTTACTTCTAATAAGTGTTTTTAAACTAGTGAAACAAAATGGTAACTGTTTTAGAGCTAACATGCCAATGTTTTTTATGATATTGCAGTTGTTACATGTTAATTTATTTTTCCATATTCTGTAAACAAAATGACATAATGAATGTGTGGAGAAAAGCTATACTCATCCATCTGCATTTTCCACTGCAAAGCTGTTTTGAATCTCTCTGCAGTGAGAATTTTTTGCAGCGGTTCTCTAATTTAAATCTTTCTCACAACTTCATCCTACTGTTATCAGACAGGCTGCTCTTGTACATTTTCTGAAAGAAAAAGATTGGCTAAAAATAGTAAGATAATAATAAGATAAGCATATGCACATATTTAGCGTTTAGAGTGGTTGATTTATTATGCCTTACTACTTCATATCAGTTTAGTTTCTTTTTTTTGCAATGGCTTTCAGCCTGGTATCAGATTAATAATATTTACTGTTCTTTTTCCCTTGTTCACCCATTATCTTTCTATTTTGATTATGCACTGGCTCCATTCTTTGGCAGTAGTGTTATATTTTTATTTACTCTCAGTGTTAGTGTAGTCATCCAGAGGCACTGAGGCTAAAACTGTAATACAGACTTGTAAATAGATGGGCTTAGTTTACTGTAAATCAGTTGAAGTAGAAAAACCAGGCAGATCTGGCATAACTAGGAAGGTGATTGTTTTGAGTTGCTTTTCATGTGTGCTCAGAACTAGACTATGGTAGTACAAACTCGTGTACATCCCCTCTACCACTGAGGCTCTGGCAGGCTGTCTCTGGGCTCCTGGGAAACTAGGAATCATAGCTGGCTTTTTGAGGAAGCTGACTGGACATGCTAATGATTGATTTTCTCATGTACATATTTATTAATCTTGAATTTCAGACATGCAGATGCAGAATGTTGCAGTGGGGAAGATTGGACTGTGTTGAGAGTTAAACATCTAATGTTTTGCTTTGTCATATCTGCAGTTCATGGCGGGGTTTGTGTGCTCTTTTTTTTTTATTTAATTTTTTTTAAGAAATGACAGAGGAGAGCTTACAAGGCCAAATGTGTGTTTGTGTGATATTTCTCTTTACAGAAACAGATGTGTAAAAGAGTTTGCTGTCTTTTATTTGTTGCCATTTACTGCCTGCTAATGCTGTTTTCAAGTGCCGCTTTGGTTTGTTTTTAGAGTTACCACTGTATTTTAAAAATGCTTGTCCATTTGTTTTAGGTCAGGAATGCTGAGAAGTAAGGGTGTTTTAAATAAGTGAAATTATCATTTTATGGAAAATAATTGATGAATCATCATATTGTGGTAGATGTTTCTGACCTACTACATTTTAGCCGTGTGGACAGGTTGAAAGATGGATGTTCTGATTCTAAATTTAACATTCAGAACAACTGCAAAGGGAGAAAAGTTAGAAGGGTGGAAGGGGGCAGGCATAGAAAGGGCTCAGTGCTGACCAACTGCAAACAGAGCAGATGCTTTGCCTGTCAGCAGCCACTTTACTTTAGGAGGCTGTGGTCAGAGTGACTTAAACTGTCTTTCTATAACTCTTAGTTAACAGAAGTGTCCATTCCGGTAGTGAATGCTGGATCAGCTATTTGTGTAGTGGTATTCTACTGAAAAAAATTAAAAACTTGATTTGGGCAGGGATGAAAACATTTCTTTGCAGGCAATGTGGTTCTCTTTTGTTTAAAATGATTCT